AATTGAATACAAAAACAAATAGTGGAAGACTTGGACATCACGTCTCGGACTAAATTAACCCGCTCGGAAGATCACCCTAGTGCGCACTATCTCAATGGGGAGAACTCATACCTCCCGCACTAGAGCCAAACTCTAGCAATATCACAGTAACAATGTCCCAAGACTCCAAAATAAATAAGTTAACAACTTATATACGAAATATATATATATATATATATATATATATATATATATATATATATCAGCACGAAAACTACATTATAATCCGTGTCTATATATATATATCCACACTATGGACTTTCACTGGACTATGATACGGGTCTCAACCTGAGTAGAAGGTAACATGCAAAACGCACCTGAGTGGGCATGACTACCTAAGCCTAACAGGGTACACCTCAACCAGTATAGCCAGTTACGCGTCCTATTGCATATATGCTCCCTAACCGTTGACTCTGAGACTCAAGCTCAAGTCACGGTACCATAATAATATATTTAAAATCCGTTCACATTCATCCATAAGAAATCCAGTAAGTTGTTCAGCTTATTCAACCGCACAGACTTAAGTCGTTCAGCTTTTTCAACCGCACAGACTTATACATAAGGAGGATTCTATTTTTGTGATCCATTTCCTTATTCCAAAGTAGGTAGGACTTAGCAATTTTAGTTAATCCAAACCTAGTATGTCACCGTCCCATACCGGTACATACAATCCAATCCATCCAACAGTTGATAGAATACATAATCAATGCACATAACAACTGAACCATAATAAGCATAAATAGAAATATAGACTAACATGCTTACTCCAGTAACTGATAGATCAAAATAATAAGACATATCAATTAATTCCATGATGAACACAAATTAAATAGATAAGCATCATGTTCATCCCATAACTCCGTTACAAATTATCTTACTTGAGCATGCAGATAATTTATTCTTCTCGTCCATAAAATCATGACAAGTCTAATAAAAACCATATTAATTATCATGCTTGTCCACTATTAATAATATCATATTAATAAAATTTCCACTCACAGAGAATAAATAAATTAAGGTTCAGTAATTTAAAATTCCTCTGTATTGAAATAAAACAACTTCCGTCGAGACTTACCAGTGTTCAAGCTATAAACACCTACTGGTTTATTAAGCATTAATCCACTCTCACAAGTGTTAACTATACTTAGAACATCTCAAAACACCCAAGTATAGCTTCCTACAGAATCTGAAAATCCCAAAATCCGAGTTCCGTAGCCAAACAAATCGCAAAAAACGTAAAATTGGAAGCCGGTTGGAAGAGCCTGCTCTTTCCAAAGAAAGAGCTGGCTCTTTCTTGCTTGGAGCCGGCTCTCCTAGTCTTGGAGGCGGCTCCAAGACCCCTTAGAGTTGGCTACATGTTCCCATGGAGCCTGCTCTTTGCTCCAAAGAGCTGGCTCTTTGAAATCTTGAGCCGTCTCTTCTTTGTTCTTCATCCCTTTCGCATCCGGCGATTTTCCGACGAACTGTTCTTCATCCCTAGGGTTCCTAAGTGTTTTAATTAGATTCCAGTGTGCTCAAGAAATAATTAAATTCCTTACTCACTCAATGACATTAATTATATATCAATTATGCCACAAGGAATTTAAACCGGGATAATTTCCATTCATGAACACCAACTGTTTTAGCAAATCAACCTTGCAACTAAATTACTTCCAGTGTTTCTCCAACATGTTATGGATCTACTAAAATTCATTATTCACCAATTTACATGAATTAAAACAGAATATACACTAGAAAGAATTTAAAACAAAACAATATACAGTATATAAACACATCCAGTTTGTACCCATCTAACCATGGAACCTAGTTTAATCTTAATCCTTATTAAACCCTGGAGTTGAATTAAACGTGCAAAGAACATGAGCCTAATGGAGAGAGTTAAGACAGAACTTGCCTTTGAGACTTTTGTTCAAAATCTCTACGTCGTCTTCTAAGGTTCCGACGATTCCGACTACAAAATTCCTCCTCTGTTCTCTCTCTGCCTCCACAGACGTGAATATGTTTTATTTTATTTTTATTTTTAAACCCTAAACAGACGTATCCTACATATTTATAGAGTTATACCAAACCCTAAATTAATTCCAGCCCTAAACTGAATCCTAATCGGCCCATAAAACTTAATTAAAACCTACGTCGGCTACAACAGTGATTTCTTAAAAGAACCCTAATCTAAATCATTAAATGAAAACAAATAAGTAAATTAAAATAGTGACTCAAAGAAATAAAAATTATGACATTTAAAACAACTTACCACTTTAAAATTAAGTCAAATAACTCAACTAATTCAAATAATTCAAATAATTCAAGTAATTCAAGTAATTCAAATAATTCAAATAAACAATTAAATAATTAAAAATTCAATTAAAACTATAAATTAAATACCAGGACTATCCTTTTGAAATTAGGGGTATTACAGTTTCAAATAACCAGACAAACGAATCTGCTGTCTCATTATACATTAAGGCTGCTCCAAACACAGCGGTCTCCCGGTGATGATTCATACCTAAGAAAATTGCAAATGGTCTGTTGTCGTGTACCACTTTGTACGTTGTATCGAAACTGATAACATCTCCAAACTGGCTATAATCAATGATCATTTTACAATCTGACCAGAATATGTTTGTAATCATTTGCTCGGTATCCAGTTGCAAGGAATAGAAGAACGAAGGATCTTCACAACCACGCATCTCAAAATAATCCACAAGCCATGCCGCCTCTTAATAAAGAAGCTCCTTTTGTCTTCGTGTCCTTAGATAATTTTTAAGATCCACTTTCAAATACCCAACTGATTCTTTGCCACCAGACTGTCTTCCCATCAACTCATATGCATTACAAGCCGGAACTCCTAAATCCAAAGCCAACTCAACATCGATGGCCTGAACTGAGGAAATTCGTCGCTGGGACGGCATCATGTGGCTGTATTCAACAATTATAAATGGATGGTTGTGACTTTCTATAAATTTAGAAACTACGTACTTTGCATTTGTCTTGTTATATTTAATAACCATTCATGCACCATAATTGGTTCGTGTTTCAGCCCGGGGAGTCTTTCTAAATATATCCCGTTTGTCAGTCCCCTTTACACATTCCTTGCTACAAACTAACGTCCTTGATGTAATTCTTCCATTAACTTTATTACCATACTCCTTCCGGATGCTAAAACCAATTCGACCACCATATGCATTGTAAAAATTATATGCCTCTTCCTCACTATCAAACTCCATTTTATACCTTGGTTTCCATTTAATCACTTCCGGCTCTACAACAAGAACGTTTTGTCCGTTTGTTGTGTCTTGAATATTATTTACTTCACCTTCCATCTGAACGCCTCAAATACAAAACCTTTTCTCACATATGTACAAAATATTGAATTAACAAAAAATAATTTTACTTCTACATCACAAGTATGTTCCATTTCAATGGCTCAAATACAAAATATTTTCACATGTATGACCAATCAAATAAAAAACCTTTTCACATGTATGAGAAATTAAATTTGACATATATCTCATTCATTTCATTTCTTTGCATGTATCAATCAAGTATATCCCAGACAAATGACGATAAAAATCTTTGTTGCAACAACTAAACATATATGTACAACCAACTGATGCTAATTTCACATACACTTTCTGAAAATGTTGGAATTAATATTACGCAAAATTGGGGATTTACGTTACCAAACAGTTGGGATTCACCTTACGAAATAGTTGGGACTCACCTTAGGAAAAATTTGGGATGTACCTTTTCAAGAAGTTGGGATGTGATTTACGAAACCTTTGGGATTCACATTAGGAAAATTTTGGGATATACTTTACAAATACTTTAGGATTTATATTATGAAAATTTTGGGACGTACGTTAGGAAAATGTTGTGACTCACTTTACAAAAATAATGTAGATAAGGAAGAATTTGGGAAGCTTATTAGGAGAAAGTTGGGATGCAACTTAGGAAAATGCTGCGTTGCAAGCCCAACAACCAAACATTTTCTTAACATTGTAACACTCTGAAACACTCTTTTTCGGCCAGTCATGTACCCTACAACTCCTCTCATTTTTTATCCTCACAAACAAATATTAAAACCCCTAATAACTGCACAATAAAATAGCGATCAATTCAAATTCACCAATAATTTTCTATTTTTGGGTTTTGGGATGTACGTTAGGAAAATGTTGTGACTCACTTTACAAAAATATTGGAATGTAAATAAGGAAGAATTTGGGATGCTTGTTAGGAGAAAGTTGGGATGCAACTTAGGAAAATGTTACGATGCAAGCCCAAGGACCAAACATTTTCTTAACATTGTAATACTCTGAAACTCTTTTCCGGCCAGTCATGTACCCTACAAATCCTCTCATTTTTTATACTCACAAACAAACATTAAAACTCCTAATAACTGCACAATAAAATAACGATCAATTCAAATTCACCAATAATTTTCTATTTTTGGGTTTCTTACCAAAATTGTGTCTATATATATTTGTTTCTGCCATTTAGTTCTTATGGAAATAAGATGATTTCTTTCAAAATCAAATCTCAAAATTATGAATCGTACCTGATTAGGGTTGGAAATAAGGCCATTTCCTGCTTCGATTTGGAAATACACTCCCACTTAGCTTTGGAAATCCGCTTCTTTTTGGAAGGAAATTAGAATCCGAAACAATTTGTAGCATCCAATTTTTGGGTTGATTCACTCAATAATCGCTGCTTCTGGATTCTATTTGGAAAGAAATAAATTTTTAAAATGGCTTCATTCATATTTTGGGAGAGACGAAGGCTAGGGCGGCATTTTATTTCAATTTCAAATATCGCCTGAATTGAGGAAGGGAAGAGGAAGCAGAAATAAGGGAGGGAACAAAAAGGGTATTATATATACATACACCAAAAATTCTATATTCCAAAAATATATTTTTTACCCGAACATAGTTAACACTATTTATTGACCCAAAATGGAGGAAATAATGCAGTTTAGGACTGGAGCTGATCCTTGTCCATCATTGGCTGACCAAGGAGAATGCACTGGTGAGAAATACAGTTAGTGGCCCCGCTAAAATTCGGGGTTTTCCGTCTCTAAAGGCAACATTTGGAACCCCTCCTCCTCCGTCGGATCCGAAGTCTTACAGTTACTCCAAACTCAATGCACCATTTCCAACATTTTTTCCATCTAAACCAACCTCTTCATTCATTCATTCACTTACCAGCGGAAAACATGATCTAATTAAAATCCCACCAATCCAATATCAAATTAAACTGAAGAGTATTTATACATATATATACATCATCCTTCACCGGTAATATTCACCGTGACACGCCGGCGTGCTAGGTCACTCCGGCGAGCTCTGCTTCTTTCTCATAGATGCCAATGTGTGGTGAGCTTCAATCTTCATTTACTACACACTTGAATTTGTCTCTAATTTCGCTTTGTGTGTGTGTGTGTGTATATATATATATAAAAGATGCACCCATTTAGATTTGTAACTTTATGTTCTTTAAACAGTGTTTTTTATCACTTAAATTTTACAAAATTTTGGTAGAAACACTAGGTTGCAACCTTAGTGGATAGTTGACCTAAACTCGTGTATCTTCTTACCTGCTGACACAAGGCATTTGAACCACATAGATCCAACAACAACCAAAAAAAAAAAAAAAATTCTGAAATGCAGTTAGCATTTGCATAAATCAATTGGGATTTCTCTTATATGATGCTGAATTACCCTCAACAATTTTAAAAAAATGCAGTTAGCATCTTTCTTGAATTACAGTAATTTGTGCATAATAATTGGTATATAGATATATATATTTTTTGCTTTGTTGAATAGGCAAAATATTGATTTGGGGATAGAAACACACAGAAGCACACATTCCGATTTTGTTGTTCTTGCAAGAAGTTCATTTCCGTGATCATAATTCCATTTTTTTATGAGATTCTAATTTTACACTACCTTGTAATGCCACATTGTTCTACTCATTCAGTTGAAGAAGATGTAGTGGCTTTTAATTTATCATTCCACTATGCTCATGTCTTTCGGCCCTTCATTCTATGACAAGTTTGATTGTATGACAATATTATGAGTTTCTGAATAATTGAATACCATCTACTTTATTCAATACAATCTAGTTTATTCAATACATCTTTAGTTGTTTTCCCCCACCCCCAATAAATACAGCTGTAGTTGTTTATTGCTTACAATAGGTTTCTTTTTAAAAATAAAAAATAAAAAAATAAAAATTTAAAGCATAACCCAGGGCTCACAGGATAGGGTTTCTTATTGGTGTTTCTATTCATGGCATCCATGTTCTGGTTTCTTTCAATTGTTTAGTTGTGAGTTGTTTGACGTCATGGTTGTGTGCTATATCCCAAAATGACCAGATTATGTGATTTTCTGGTTGCCAAGCGTGTTTTCAAGTGTTGTGATATGCTGTCACGAGTTTGGAACTTTCTTTATACACTTAAAATTAGATAAAATGGGGGTTTCTTAAAAGAGTCTCATCTTTCATATAATCTTCTCTTTTTTCTTCTGATTCCTTCTTTTTTTATTTTATTTTATTTTTTTTAATTTTTTTTTTTTTCCGTTCTTGCAGTGCTGGAGCACAATGGATTAAGACTTTCATAGAGCACAAATACAGGGAATATTTGCAATATAGAAGACATCTTTCTGCAGAACTACAATAATTTGGAGCTAGGAGAGGCATACTCTTTCAGTTCCTTTCTTTCTTTCCTTTTTTTCCTAGTTCCTTTCAGTTCCTTCCAAATCTCAAATATTATACTGCACCTAACATCATCATTATTTGCAAATTAATGGTTCTCGTTGTGGCTTGTCTAAGTTGGTAGTTGAGCTCAGAATCTATCTGTGATGGAATTCACGAATGGGCACTTGTCAAATGAGCATCAGGAGCTACTTCAATCAGCCTCAGAAAGTGAAGATCCATCATTAATTTCTCCATTACAGATTTCCTCATCCCCAAAGTCTCCAAGATCCCCAAAGTCACCACGATCCCCTAAGTCTCCAAGGTCCCCAAATGCTCATCATAGCAAAACTAGCACAAGCAAGGGCAGTCCACTGAAGAATTACAGGCATTCACATTCTGGAAGAGATGGCCGCCCTAAAAAAGGTAATGCATTACTCCTAGTAATCTTGAATTTTAATTATATAATATTGGAAGTTATTTCTTTTTGAGACCAAAAAAAGATGCTTCTTCCCTATTAACTACAAATAATTAAAATCTTAATATAGAGTATGAAATGAAATAACTTGGTATTATGGTTTTTAAAAGTTGTCAAGGAGAAATGTTTAACACGTGAGCATCTGCCAAAATCTATTTGTTAGACCCCTAAGACTGAAACAGTCTTGGGTAAAAATAGTGCAGCAGCTGAAGAAACAGACGAGTTTCCCAGGGCAATATGTTTGTGGGCACTGGTTAACACTCATGTAGTTTCTGTGGATTAAGCACTTACTGAACTTTTAAACTCAAATGTGGTTTATTTCTCATTGTGCATAAATATTATCATTATGCAGGTGGTTCTGGGGGAAAAGGAACCTGGGGTGGGTTACTTGATACAGATAACCAATACGTCCTTGACCCGAACGACCCAAACTACACTAGCAATGAGGTAGTTAATTAAATTCTCTTGATATTTCATTTTATTTTCTTTAAACAAATTAACACCACCTTTTTTCTTTTTTTTAAATTAATCTGGGAAGACCTATATTAGTTGTCGCCATGAATTATCTTCTCAATAGTGGGAAAGCCTGTTTGGTTGTTTAATTTATAGTTTTAAGCGTTGTAAAGCTCCTTGCTAATATCGATGGATGCCAAAATGAAAATTTTTGGTTGCAGGAAAAGAAACAATTAAGTGCAAGAAAATTGAGTGCCCCATTTGAGGAGTATAAAAAGAAAGCTACAATAACTGTAGAGGAATACTTCAACACTGATGACGTTATCTTAATTGCCAATGAATTAAGTGAACTTGGAATGCCAAGCTATAACTATTATTTTGTTAAGAAGCTTGTTTCTATGGCTATGGACAAGCATGACAAAGAAAAAGAAATGGCCGCTGTTCTGTTATCCTCACTTTATGCCGATGTCATTGATCCACCACAAGTATTCAAAGGTTTCAGTAAACTGGTGGAATCTGCGGATGACTTGATTGTAGATATACCAGATACAGTTGATGTTCTTGCACTGTTTATTGCTCGAGCCGTGGTTGATGATATACTTCCTCCTGCTTTTTTGACAAAAGAAATTGCCTCCTTACCCAATGATTCAAAGGGAGTTGATGTCATTAAAAGAGCTGAGAAGGGCTACTTATCGGCCCCTCTCCATGCAGAAATCATTGAGCGCCGTTGGGCTGGCAGTAAGAACAAAACTGTTGAAGATGTGAAAGGAAAGATAAATAATTTGCTGATAGAGTATGTAGTGAGTGGCGACAAGAAAGAGGCTTGCAGATGCATTAAAGATTTGAATGTACCATTCTTCCATCATGAGATAGTGAAGCGGGCTATTACAATGGTCATGGAAAGGCAGCAAGCTGAATGCCAGCTTTTGGATTTGTTGAAGACTGCTGCTGAAGAAGGTTTGATCAATTCAAGTCAGATATCAAAGGGAGTTGGACGGATTATTGACACTGTCGATAAATTATCGCTCGACATACCAAATGCAAGGAAGATATTGCAGTCCTTAATCTCCAAAGCTGCATCAGAGGGGTGGTTGTGTGCCTCATCTTTGAAGTCACTGTCATTAGAGACTGAGAAACCATCATTAGAAGATAGTGTTGTGAAAGCCTTCAAGATGAAGGCTCAATCCATAGTTCAGGAGTATTTTTTGTCTGGTGATGTTTCAGAGGTAAGTCATTGTCTAGAATCAGAGACATCTTCTTCATTGGGAGAATTGAATGCTATATTTGTTAAGAAATTGATGACTCTCGCGATGGATAGAAAAAATAGAGAGAAAGAAATGGCTTCTATTTTGTTGTCATCCTTGTGTTTACCAGCTGATGATGTCGTAAATGGCTTCATTATGTTGATAGAATCTGCAGAAGACACTGCTCTGGACATTCCAGTTGTTGTTGAGGATCTTGCGATGTTTTTGGCTAGAGCAATGGTGGATGAAGTCCTTGCTCCACTGCACTTGGAAGAGATTAGGAGTCAGTGTTTAGGACCAGATTCAGTTGGGAGCAAAGTGCTTCAAATAGCAAATTCATTGCTGAAGGCTCGACTTTCTGGAGAACGAATATTAAGGTGTTGGGGTGGTGGATGGAGCAGCAGGAATGGATGGGCAATTGAGGATGTTAAGGACAAGATTGGAAAGATTTTAGAGGAGTTTGAGTCTGGGGGGGATATGAAGGAAGCTTGTCGGTGCATAAAGGAGTTGAGCATGCCATTTTTCCACCATGAGATTGTTAAGAAATCATTGGTGACAATTATGGAGAAGAAGAATGATAGATTGTGGGGTTTGCTTCGGGAATGTTTTAGCAGCGGACTCATTACCATGAATCAAATGATGAAGGGTTTTGGCAGAGTGGCAGAATCTCTTGATGACTTGGCTTTGGACGTGCCTGATGCAGAGCAACAATTTACGCATTATGTGGACCAGGCCAGGACTAAAGGGTGGTTGGATTTATCATTTTGTTTCACCAGACCAGGACATGCAGAGGAGAATGGCTATTGTTCATGATGCTGAGGTGCACCCTGAAATCTGAATTTAGTCTGCTTGTTCAACATTACAACATGCATGCATATCATACTTGTCAAATCATAATAGAAATTTAGATTATATAAATTGGTGTTCTCAAGATTGAATTATGAATTCTAAGGTTCTTGAAATGTGAAGTATGACAATTAATGCTAGTTTGAGATAAGTTGATGAAAAATTAGGTAGCCAAATGAGAAATGTCCAAATCAGTAAGAAAAATAGGATCCATTTAACCTTTCAGTTTCTTCTGATATACTTGGGATGCCAATCAAAGCTAGAGCTAAAAATCCACAAAGCAATTAATCAGTGCATTGATAAAATCCCATATGTATGAATAAATAAAACAATATATGTAAACTTGGCTTTATATTGTGAATTGTGGTATTGACTGCAAATTCAAAATCAATCAAAGTTTACAAGAATGCGAGATCCCATGCACCTACTAAAACAGAAGAAATAAAGTAGTGATACGAAACCTGCATCAATTCTTAACTCCTTGGTGTGACAATGACCTTCAATTGCTAGTTCTATGCTGCTACAGTAGTGATATGTATCTAAATTCACTCAAGTGGCATGTAACTCGTATGATATCCATGAAAAAAAATTATTTTAGCAATAAGAAAGTTTCTGTTCAAAAATATTTTATTAAAAATGGTTTCCATTCACCAATGAGACGGATTCTATATGAATTAGACTACTGGTATTTGAATGACCTTTACAATACACAGTAGGGATTGTAGCAGTTTCTTACATGGTTCTATCTTAATTTGTTCATTGCCCTTTAAATCACCTAGAAAGGCTGAAAAAATTAATAGGGGAAAAATAAAAAAAAGCAGGGCCTTTAGCAATCCTAGAAAGGCTGAAAAAAAATAATAGGGGAAAAAAAGAAGTAGGACCTTTAGCAATATAAAAGAGCAGCTAAATATTGATCTCGAGGCAATTTACACCAAAGGTCCTGCCACTTGCTGGATATTAGGGAATTAAACTAGATAGTTTTCTGATTTTGGTGCCTGCCTAAATTATACGGAGTAATTTTAAGGACTATTTATGAAAAAACATAAAGAAAATAGATAGAAAAAAACAATGAAGAAAACCGCTACCAGAAGCCACTTATACATGGTTTCACCTACAAGGTTTTCTGGCAATCTGGCTTATAGAAATAAAAAAGAAAAAATTGAAGGATTTACAAGCAATTAAGATGGTAATTATCATTAAATTATAGTGTATATTTCATGTCCATAAACCGTTTCTAATCACTTGTGTTTGTTCTTAAAATTTCTACCTTTAGTACCAAGGGAATTAAAAATAGGTTGGTTAGGCCATCATTAGTTAATCAGGTATTTTATTAACATACAATTTTGTGAGGAAGCTTTGATAGGAATTCTGTAATGAAGATGAAGATCATAAAATTTAATCTAGATTTAGACTCTAATAAGCTGGTGACATGCAGATCTTGAAACATATGATCATTTACAAATATATATATATATATATATTGTAGGGGCAGCAGAAGCACTCGAACATAAATATTCAATGAAAGCCAAAACAATCACACACAAACACAAGATATACATGGTTCATCCAAAATCGGCCTACATCCATGGATGAGAAGAGATTCCACTATGATTCGTAGAGATACTGCAACAATAGAGTACCAACACCACGTACATGTCTTTTCACCATGTACGACTTTACGAGCCTATCTCCTTGCTACCAATGTCACTGGTATTTTTCCTACTCTACCGACCCATATACTACCTCTACCCATAAACTTCCTCACGAGACTACATCTTTCTCAATCTCATACCTCTCAACAATAACTTAGTTATCTATTTATAGAGTCTTAAGCCCAATTCCTTGTTAGACAAGGATTGCAATTCCTTAGAGGCCAATATTTGCCAAACAAGAAATTACCTAATAGAATACAACTCTTAAATAGAATCCTACTTAAAATAGGAATTTGAGAAACAATTTTCAACATATATATATATATATATATATATATATATATCTATATATGTGTGTATCTTTATCTCTTCTGTTTTTATGCATTTATTTTGATGGACTAACTTTATTGAAGAATTTATTATTCTGTTGTTCGAGTGTTCGACAATTCAAATTATATGTCTTAGTTTAAGGAAAATAAATTCATAACGAGAACTCTTGAGAGCTGCCTGCTTTCTCAACCTATCTCCTCCATGCAAATGCAATGAAGCATGTATATGGTTAGGTGGTTGTTCTGCTAAAGGTGGCCTAAACACCACAGATTCGGAGCTTTTCTCATTAAATTTATTTATCCTGGAGAGCATAAAATTATGCATTCACTGATGCACTGTTGGACCAAAAGAAACGCCCGCCCGGGGGGGGGGGGGGGGGGGGGGGGTGGTGGTGGTGGTTTGAATTGGTCTTCTTACAAATTCTTCTTTAGCACAGTGATGATTACAATCAATACAAATGCAATGAGACAAAAGGTTTATAAGGAAAACCCTCTTAATAGGGAAAAACCTTGGTTCTTGGCCTTGGCCAATAAAAGCTTCACTAGTTGTATGCAAGTAGTTACACACTCAGCTGTCTCACTCTCTGCACACACCCTTAGACAAGAAGAAACACTAGTTTTCACAGCCTTTACACACACAAAAGCACCACTAAGTGCACTCTGCACCCCCTTTGTCCTAAGCAAACCTTGCTTGGACCCTACAAGCTCTTACAGCTCACCAAATACATATAAAAAGATATATTATAATAATACTCAAGCTATTATATAAGATAAGAATGAAAAACCAGCTTAAAGTATCAATACAAACCTCCTGCTTTCATTCTATTACAACTAGGGTTTGAGGGGTAAAATTAGAAATTCATTTCCCACTAACTCAGACATGAAATCCACAACCTTAAGTCTTCAATACAAACATGCTCATATGATAATCATGATGAATATAGCATGAGTATAACAATATCTCAGCAAATAGGCTTCAACAACACTGTTACAACAAGGCCAAAAATAAAAATGACCAAATTTCCGTTCAGAGTTCAACTTCAATAGCCTTAATTCAACTATATAAACTTGATGGTATGAAGATCAACCATAATATAGTAAGATATAATCAAGGTACATATGAATCAAGAGGCTAAACCAGAAAAATAGCTTTAATACTAGGTCAGAGATACCAAAATCACTTACAGCAGTAAATGGCTCAAGAACAAGTGCTCAGCAAGTGCAAGTCAATATAATATACCTGTCTTAGCCTTAAGTTTGCACCTCAGCAAGCTCATACCAAATGGCAGCCTCCAAACCAGCTTCTGCACTAGTAATTTGACAGCAAATGGACTCCAAGCTTTAGATCAACATTGTTGACTCAACAAGCATCCTTATGAGTAGATTTCAACCTCAAATCATCAAAAATAGTCTCAGCAAAGATGGTTCTTTAAAAGCTCTCGAGTCACACCCAAAGAAAGTTCAAATTAGGGTTTTCAATTAGGGGCTCAAACCTGCTGCAATGTTATAATAGTATATATATACGAGTATCCTTAGTCTAAGTCCTACTGCAATAAGGATATACACCTGGCACCTGCAACCAATCATTAGCCAGGGAATATTGTGACATTCCCTCAGTGAAAGGACAATTATACCCTTTCCAACTCAGCATTTTTGTCTTCTAGTACACCAGAATTCTCATAGCTCACATGCAATGCTATATCAACATTTTTATCCATAACTTAGAGCTGAAGAATTTGAATCTCAGTGTATATACTCTCACACTAGGACCACAGCTACATGTCACACACAAGAGTACTTAGTAAAAAGACCAAAGTACCCTTGAACAAGCCACTTGTCACACATAGCACAAAACTGTTGCTGAAGCTCTATAAATTGCAATGCTGCTCAATTCAGTGATGTTCAATGCAATGCAGTATGTTAGACAAGTGTGAAAAGGTTCAATGCAATTGTAAAATGACATTAATGCCCCTAGGCAAGCCTGTAACTAAAAATCATATGCTGGACCTTAATAAACACTAGAAAATAGGTTTGAAAGCTGAGCTAGAACACAATGTACTATCCTTAACCATTATGAAAGAGTGCCACAAGATAGTAAATGACTAAATTGCCCCTGAGAGATGATACAAGGCATTGTACGCATCAATGATAGTGAGAGAACACCTTGGCAACCTTGGAAATCATAGTTCTGACATTAAAAAGGCCAAACACAAAGAACTGCATAGACCAACAATCTCCCCCTTTTGCCTTTAATGTCAAAATCTCATCATTGAAATTAGAACAAGATAGTGGAGCGATAACACCTCAAATATAATGATACCATAGGCAAAACTAGTAACAGAAAACAGCAGACACAATTTCAAGGATAAAAGCTATCCTTATTTTAGTCATTTTCTCCCCCTTTTTGGCATTGAAGGCTAGAAGGTTAGAAGGACCAACAATTATAAGCTCAGTAAGGTGGTGGAACAACCCTGAGAAGATCTCTAAGGGTTGAAAATCTCTCAGGAAGAAGAGGTTTGGTCATGATATTTGCAATTTGATGTTCAGTTGGCAAATAGGTGATATCAATAAGGTCTTTTTGAACATTGTCTCTGAGAAAATGATACCTGCTGTCAATGTGCTTGCTCTTCCAGTGGAGAGTTGGATTCTTGATGATGGAAATGGCACTTTGGTTATCACAGTAAAGCTTAGGAGGGCCTGAGAACTGAAGACCAAGGTTTGTGAGTGTTGTTCTCATCCACAATAGTTGTGAACCAGCTTGTGAGGCAGCAATATATTCATCTTCTGAGGTTAAAAGGGACACAATGTCTTGTTTCTTACTAAGCCAAGAGACAAAATTTGTGCCAAGGATGTAACAGCAGCTTGAAGTACTCTTCCCATCAGGTAATGAGCCACCCCAATCAGCATTTGAGTAGGCTATAATGGGCAATATGGGGGAATACAAGTAGTGTAAACCATAGGAGAGAGTCCCTTTGACATATTTTAGGATTCTTTTGGCATCTTGAAGGTGAGAAGCCCTTGGATTGCTTTGAAATCCTGTAACTAAGCCCACATAATACATAATGTCAGGTCTTGAGGTTGTGAGATACAACAAACTACCAATGATAGACCTGTAAAGAGTTGAAGGAACAACTTGTGCGGTACACTCAAGTGTAAGCTTGGTATTAGGGCACAAAGGTGTAGAGACAACCTTGCTTTAAGCCGTATTGAACTTCTTGAGTAACTCAATGGCATACTTCTCTTGAGAAATGAAGATTCCAATGGAAGATTGGTGTATTTGAAGGCCTAAGAAGTATCTGAGATGCCCAAGCATAGACATTTCAAACCTTTTCTTCATAAGATTTGCAAATTCAGAGGTCAAGGAGGAATCTGAGCCACATAACATGATATCATCAACATAAATCTGCAAAATAAGAAAGTGTTCTTGATGAATTCTGACATACAAAGTGTTATAAACCTTTCCTATGTGAAACCCTTGTTCAATCAAAAAGTAGTGGAGCTTCTAATACTATGCTCTAGGGGCATGTTTGAGACTATACAAAGCCTTTCTTAGCTTGAAGACATGTGAAGGAAACTGTAGATCTTCAAAACCCTCAAGTTGTTCTAAGTAAACTTCTTCATTCAGTTCTCCATTCAGAAAGGCAGACTTCACATCCATTTGATAAACCTTGACTTGCTTGTATCTGATCACAGAACCCTTCTCATTCATATTGTTTATGAAAATCCACGTGGAACCAATGACATTCTGGTCTTGGTATAAGAGTCCAAGTATCATTTCTCTGGATTTGATCAAGCTCTTCTTTCATTGCTGTAATCCAATATTCATCATTCTTTTCTTCATTGTAGGTCTTTGGTTCAATAGAAAGCATTATTGCAAAGTGACTATATTCTCCATCATCTTCTTGTTCAAGTTCACTAAGCCTCTTCTTAGCTCTGGTTTTAATGCCCTTTTTAGGGCTTCCAAGGATGTTTTTAGCTTGAACTTGCTTCTGCATGTAGGGATATGTGGTTTCTTTTTGCATAATAGGATCAAGTGAATCAAGATCATGGCAAAGAACATTCATCTTCAAATACACTTGCTTGAGGATTCTCATCAAACTTCACATGAATTAACTCAACCATCTTTGAAGTCCTGAGATTGTAACATTTGTAAGCCTTGCACTTAGTTGAATATCCCAGGAAGATATCTTCATCAGCCTTTGAATCAAATTTCCCTAAGCTATCAATGTGATTGAGAATGTAGCACTTACTTCCAAACACCTTGAAGTAATGGACAGTTGCAGGTCTTCCATACCAGAGTTCAAAAGGGGTTTTGGTTGAATTTGGCCTGAGAAGCACCCTATTGACAATGTACACAGCTGTATTCATAGCTTCAACCCAAAAGCAACATTGTTCTCCTCATTTTTTGTATAGTTCTGTACTTCCTTTCAAAAACCCTATTTTATTGAGGTGTGGCCATAGGTGAGAACTCCTTCTTGATACCTTTTACATCACAATAACTTTCAAACTCTCTCATAGTGAACTCAATGCCAAAGTCTAATCTCAACTTCTTGACAATGCATCCTTTTTCATTTTCAACAAGATTGACAAATTTGATGAAGTGTGTAATGGCCTCAGACTTTTCTCTCAGAAAGTAAATCCACAAAATTCTACTAAAATCATCAATGAGGAGCATGGAGTACTTACTTCCTCCAATGCTTGTGGTTCTGGTAGGGCCATAGAGGTCCATATGAATTAAATCAAGTGATCTTGAACTGTTAACTTCTTTGGAGAGGAATGAAACCTTAGTTTTCTTCCCTTGTTCGTAGGTTCTACAAGTGTGATCTTCCTTGAACTTCAATGCAGGTAAGCCCTTCACAGCTTTGAACTTTAGAATTTTTGAAATATTCCTTGTATGAACAAGTCCAAGTCTATTATGCCACATAATTGCTTCATCAACTGTTGATAGGTTGCACTGAGTTGATTGAGTCTTTTTAGTGATTGTATAAACATTTTCAGAGGATCTAAGGGCTGAGAAGATAACCTTATCTGAGGTAAGGTCAACTACATTGCACTTGTAGTTATCAAAGCACACCTTCTTGCTAGTATCACATAGTTGGCTCACGCTTAGCAGATTATGTTTAAGTCCCTCAACATATAGAACTTCATTGATCTCAGGTAGTTATTCATACTTGCATACACTACCAATGCCAAAAATCTTAGCCTTTTGATTATCTCTAAACAACATAGTACCGCCATCAAACTTCTTCAAGGAGAGAAGATTGGAACTGTCACCTGTCATATGTCTTGAACAACCACTATCAACATACCATTTGTCATTGGTGTTACAAGCTTTGAAGGCTATGTAAACCAATATATTCACAGAGTTTAGCTTCTTAGGCATCAACATCATCTTAGTCTTAACAAAAGACCCTTTGTCGTTGACTTTTTGAGCTTGTAAAAGGTCTGATTTCTTCATGTACACAGGAGTAAAATTGATGTTTTTCATGGCTGTTGTGACAAAGTCACACCTGTTGAGCTTCAGTATGTTGTAGGTATTGTCAAGTATCTCATACTTAGACTTTGTAAACTTCACAATGGGGAACTTAACATACACGTCACTAGTGGAGGCCTTAACAAATACTGAGTGAGTTTGTTTAGCCTTAATTGTAGTATCACAAACATCACTAATACCTGTTTTGCCATTTTGCTTTGTAGTATTCCTCCAGATCTCTGCCTTCTTCAGTGATCTCTCTTCCAGAGCTTGTGAGAGTTCTTCTTTGCACCTTTTGGTAGTCCACACATCCTTAATTAATTGAAGTTTTAAAACACTGAACACAATCAAGGAGATTGAGTACAGTGTTGACATTTTTAACTTGAAATGCTTGTCAAGCAAATCCTTGGACATTTGTAGCTCTGAGTTGAGCTTTTTGATTTGAGACTTTTGCTGATCACACTTAGCTGTCCTTCTTTCACATTCTTTAAGTATTTCCTCCACTTTAGTGTTACTATCTTTTTCCACCTCACCTTGAGCTTGAGAGGGTTTCAAGTATAGCCATAAACAAGCAATCATCATCTTGGCTATCATCTGGCTTTTCTTCTTCAAGAACTGTATCCTAATCAGATATAAGAGCCTTTCTTCCAAATCTTCCACCTTTTTCTGGTTTTAGCTTTTAGAGTTAGGACAGTTAGCCACATAGTGACCAGATTTACCACAACCATAGCAGGTTTGGTTATGTGATTGTGTCATCTTTTTGAATCTAAACTTCTTGAAATTCTTAACCAAGTAAGCTTCCTCATCCTCTTCAAGATCATCATACTCAGACTTTTGTTCAGCTTCTTCAACAACCTATTTGGCCTTAAGAGCACCTTCTCTTATGTGTTGAGTAGGAGCTCCAATTCTCATCTCATAGGCTGTGAGTGAGGCTTGAAGATCATCAATCTTCATTTGAGATAGTTCTTTGTCTTCAAGAATGGTGACCATGGCATTGAACCTTGAGGTTAGAGATCTCAGAATCTTTTTGCTGACTTCAGAATCTTTAACATCTTCTCCAAGAGCCTTCATGTTGTCACAATTTCATTAATCTTGAATAGGTACTCTAAGACAGCTTCCTTTTCTTCCATTTTGCAGCTCTCATATTGGACTTTAAGCATTTGAATCTTGTTCTCCTTTATCACTTTGTTACCTTCATGTGCAACCTTGAGTGAGTCCCATATTTCCTTAGTTGTTTTACAGTTTTTGATCCTTGTGAACTCTTGTTACTTGAGAGCACAAAAGAGAGCATGTTTAGCTCTTCCATCATTTGCTAAGGCTGCTTTATCATCAGTTGAGGGGTTGTTTGGATTGAGAACAATAATGCCAATAATAGTAGCTTGCCACGCATCATAGGATTGAGACATTAGAATGGCTTCCATCCTTAGTTTTCAAAGAATCATAATTGGAACCATCAGAACCAGGTGCTTTGTTAGAAGCTTGGCCTTCATCCATTGAAAGATCTTCTCTAGGTTAGTTAAAACCTTAAAAAGATAGACCAAAGCTCTGATACCAATTGTTACAAATTATTCTTTAGCACAGTGATGATTACAATTAATACAAATACAATGAGACATAAGGTTTACAAGGAAAACCTTCTTAATAGGGAAATACCTTGGTTCTTAGGCTCAGCCAATAAAAGCTCCACTAGTTATTGATAAGCGCCGAATATTGTATATTCAAGCGCCCTAAATTGCATTAGTTAAGTTCTTTATTTGTGTATTTTATATAGATTATCTCCAATTGTATGTTTTTGCACATTTTCAGATTCATTGGCCAAAAAGAAGCAAGAAGGATGCTTTGTGGAGTTTTGAACATGAAAGGTGCCAATTCTGAAATTCTGGCAACAGTGAAGCCCAAACTTTGTTCGCCATTTTGACCTACCAAACTCAAGAACTGGACTTCCATTATAACATGAAAGATTTAGAGCTCTGAATCAGCTTTCCAAATCTTCAAGCGGTTTGTCATTCGGAGTTCGGAGCAGAGAGTTATGATCTTCTTATTAGAGGTGTTCAGAACTGCCTGGCAGCAATGAAAGTCTGCCTTGTTCTTCAATTTCGACCAATCAGACTTGAGAATTGGATCTCCACCAAAACATAAAGTTTTTAGAACTCTGAATTAGCTTTCCAAATCTTTAAACGGTTCATCATTTGGAGTTCAGAGCGCAAAGTTATGGCCGTTTTACCAAAGTAGGTCCGAGCGGAGCAAACCAAGCATAGGGGATTCTGGCCAATTTTCGAGTGCTCGAGGCCTTATTTCGAGTGCTCGAAATTAGGGCAGATTGCTTCACGAGGTCAGCCACTTGTGCTCGGAAATTTACTAACTTTGTATGCTCTCTTTATGAGTTGGTTGGGGATGTTTCTTGGAGGAGAGAGAGGGTTTTTTGGGTGGAGTAACATGTCTACAAAAGAGGGGAGCCAATTCTGAAATTCTGGCAGCAGTGAAGCTCGATTTTGATTGCCACTTTTGACCCAGAAAGCTCGAGATCTGGACTTCCATTATAAAATGGCATATTTAGAGCTCTGAGTTAGCTTTCTAAATCTTCAAACGGTTTGTCATTCGGAGCTTAGAGCAGAGAGTTATGGCCTTGTTACCAGAGGTGCGCAGAACTGCCTGGCAGCAATGAAATTCTGCCTTGATCTTCATTTTCGACCAACCATCCTTGAGAATTGGATCTCCACCAAAACATAAAGTATTTAAAGCTCTGAATTAGCTTTCCAAATCTTCAAACGGTTCGTCATTCGGAGTTCGGAGCGCAAAGTTATGGCCATTTCACCAAAGTAGGTCCAGGCGAATCAAAGCAAGCATGGAGCAATCTGCTCCATTTTCGAGTGCTCGAGGCCTTGCTTAGAGTGCTCGAATTTGGGGCAGAATTGCCTTCGGGAATTCTCATTTTGGCAGCCACTTGTGCATTGGTTTCCTCATTTTCTACTTACTTCTTTATGAGGTGGTTGGGGATGTTTTTTGGAGGAGAGAGAGGGTTTTGTTGGAGGACAAAAGGCAACCAAAGGCCATACATTTCATATCCTACATTTCTACAAGATTAGAGGAGAGAGAAGAGAGCAAGAAAGGTGTTCTTGAAGCTCCAAGGAGGTTGCACGAAAATGGCCATGAAGATGGAGCTTCTTCCTTCTTCTAGCTTGGCAATGGGTAACTAACTCCCTTCTAGGGAGGTGATGAAACTCCTTCTTGTAAGCATGTCTTGTTTTTGATTTACATTTGGGGATGTAATGTATATATATGACCTTTCCATGAACTAGAGCTTTATTTGATGTGAAGAGCTTCAATGTCTATTAATGATCATTTTGAGTTTAAGATCTTGTCTTAAGATTATTTCCTCTTATGATTATTTTGCTTCCATTTTCATAGTGACAATGAAGATGAGTTTATGGAAATGTTTTTATTGGCATGATGCTTGGGAAATTTGATAGTCTATAACTTAGGGTTCTCTTTTGATAGATTATTCTTGATTCCTAATGTCATGTGCTTCTACTATGTGATTAAGGGCTTGATAACTCTATGCTTAGTGAGTATGTCTAAGGTTGCAACCTAGTTTAGGTAACCAAAACATGCAATACTTTGATAAGTTATTCTTGCCTAGTGATTTCATAAAAATTCCTGAAGGTAATGTAGCAATTTTATGTTGTTGCATTTCATGGTTATGTGTATATATTATTCCCCAAGTAAATCATGTATTAACATGCTTATGGATAGGTAGTGGATTCACTTCCCTAGCCCTCTCTACCTAGATCTCCTTCTTTTACATTTACTAGCATTCTTGTTTTATGCACACTTCAATTACTAGCTTAGTGACAAACCAATAAACAACTCCTTATTACACCTTATCATTCTTAAATAACTCTAGATACTTAGGTTGCCTTAAGACTAGTGCAGTCCCAGTGGTTCAACTTACCCGACCAATAGCCCTATTTTACAATGATTCGTGCTATTGCGAAGGTTGATGTATAGTTGATCAACCGATCAATTTTTGGCGCCGTTGCCGGGGACTTGCAAACGGTTTAGCAACCAAAGTTTAGGGTTAAATTTAGTTTGATTGTGCATATTGTGTTTGTGCATATTTTTCGTGTGGTTTAACCATTTTCGTGTTGTAAGATTCTAGGGACTCGACTCTCGCCGTGGGAACGCTAGCAAAGTGTAAGTCTAGAGGACCCTAGGTAAGCTTCTTGACCTTTTAGTTTCGCATTGTTATATATTGTGCATGTGTTAAGCTTAGAAGTAGTTAATTTATTTGCAAACCCTTGTTGAGGCTATATTATTGTTTTAATTTCGTGTTCAAGCATCGGTCCTTGTCGTGGCCATTTATTTTCTGTCTTGATAATTGAGGAGAAAGGGAACATCGTATGTGGAGTTGTGGTTGATGAATTGCTTTGTTGAGTATATGCTTTGTTGTTGATGTTCGATCGTAGGTCACTTTCCTTACCCACAATCGATTCTCCCATTGATATTAATTCTCTTGAAAGAACTCTTAGACGGAACCCTAGGGAACCTACTCTTACACGGGATCTTGAAACTGAATTTAATACAATGGGGGATAATATAGGAAATCCGGGGAATGAAAGGGCTGAAATTCCTAATATCGAGCCAATGACTCTTAGAGATCATTTCATCCCTACCACCTATGCTTCTCCATCTTGCATAGTGATGCCAAACATCGATGCAGCTCAATATGAGATCAAATCTAGTACCATCCAAATGCTTCCATCTTTTCATGGTTTTGATAATGAAGATCCATATAAGCATCTCGATGAGTTCCTTGAAATCTGTTCGACCATCCGGTTGAGAGGATTTCCTGAAAATGCACTCCACTTACATCTTTTCCCATTCTCCCTAAAGGATAGGGCAAAATATTGGTTGAACTCCCTCGCTCCTAACTCTATTACTTCTTGGGCTTAATTGCAACAAGAATTTCTTAAGAAGTATTATCCGGTGAGTAAAACCAACCAAATGAGGCGTTCCATTCTAAGCTTTTCTCAAGTTGATGGAGAACAACTCTACGAGAGTTGGGAAAGGTTACAAGATCTTCTTTGGAAGTGTCCTCATCATTTGATCCCAAAATGGCAATTAGTGCAAGCTTTCTATGCCGGCTTAACCGACACCCATAGATTCATGGTTGACTCTTCTTGTGGTGGGATGTTCATGTCCAAGAATGCGGATGAGGCTTGGACCTTACTTGAAAATTTGAGTGAAAATTCACTTCAACACAATTCTCGTAGGGCTCCGACCTCAACCACTCCAAAGAACACCAATCCTTGTCAACAAAAATCAGTAAGGGAGGAATCATCTCAAGTGGATGCCATTGCTCATAAATTCTACCAATTGATGGCACCACATCTTCCCCCTTCATTGTCTCAAAATTCGGCAAGTTCGGTTTGTGCTTCATGTACTAGTCCATTCCATCTCTCAGAAGATTGCCCCACACCGGAGCAATTTCCCAATCCCAACCAAGAGCAAGCTAATGCCATGTTCTCAATGCCCGGGCATAACCCGTATTCTAATACATATAATCCAGGTTGGAGGGACCATCCGAATTTTTCGTGGAGGCAACAAGCCCCACAAAATTCCCAACTTCAAAATCAAGGGCCTCAAAATCAGCCCTCTTCTCAATATCAAGGTAGGCCTTTCCAAGCCTCTTCAAGCTACCAACCTCCATACAATCCAAATATCTCCACTCAACCTCCTGTGAATCCAATTGATGAGATAGTGGCTGCAAACAAGCAAATGATGGAATCATTAAATGTGCAAATGATGGAATCATTAAACAAGCAAATCATGGATTCCAACAAGCACATCTTGACATCCTTGCAACCTACTCTCCAAATGGTTCACTCCCATACTCAATCCATAGCTAGGCTCGAAAATCAAATGGGACAAATAGCTAACCAAGTGAACCAACTTCTTCAAAAAGACAAGGGTAAGCTTCCCGCTCAACCATTTGAAAATCCTAGAGGGATACATGCAATTGATGAAACCCCTCTTCCGAGTGGGCCGAGTCTTGAGCATGTTCAAGCTAT